ATTGGGTTGAGCTCGGGCTGCCTCGGGCCATTGAGGAGCTGAAGTTCTCCAACCATATGGTTGTTTATCTTAGGGCTGTGTTTTGTGTCAGTCTAGAGCCTTTGCAGGGGGGAGAATAAGCTCGCTAGCTCCTAGAAACCCTGTGCGTGCCGGCTCCTGTCACTCGGGAAGCTGATGGCTGTTCCTTGTGTACCCATCTCTGTGTCATCCTAGAGGCTACTTCGCAAGGGCAAGGGCTTCTCCATCAGGGGTAGGTGTCATTGCAGGGGGCTGTGCTCTCCTCTCATCCCACACCAAACAGCTCCGAGGCACCAGGGAGCGAAACCTCAGAGGGAAAGAAGCACCTGGACCCATCAGGACAACAAACAGTGGATGAGCCCGTGACCCTTCCACCGCTGCATTGTGCAAAAGCTGCTTGCTTTGAAGGGCTCGCATCCCACTGCAACCACGTCCCTGCTTGAGGAACCGCGGTGCTGAGGATGCCCATCAGTGCAGCTCAGTGCTTCTCTCCCCGGGGTGGGAGCAGGGGTCGGAGGAAGAAGAGTGCTGATACTGTTTTAATCTTCCTTTTAACTGTAATTGCGTTGGGCCGGCTCCCCCGAGCTTGTTCCGGGAGATGCATTTTTCCCAGCTAGATTGCTTTCCTTGTTTTGCTCATTGGAGACAGGCCGGGGCCTGTGTCATGCCAGCTCTGCATTAATAGAGCCTCAAATGAGATTTCACAGCCTCAAATCTGATTAGCACCCAGGCTCCGGTTGCTTTGGAGAGCGGGGCAGACAGGCGAGGAGCCGTGATGCTCGAAGGGGGTGCAAACCCATACGGATGTGGGATGTTACATTGCACCCTGACACACTGGGCTTGTGGGACTGACACGGGACATGGGGATAGCAGGGCATGGAGCGATGCATCTCCCACCCCTAGAAGCCAGGAATTCCGGGTGCTCAATTGTCCCTCACGCAGCATGTTGGGAGAAGGTGAGTCTGGGCAAAGCAGCTGCATCTGCTCACCCACCAGCCACCGCGTCCTTGCTGTAAACCCACATTTCATCCCATTTTGCTGCCTGATGATGTGTAAAATCCCTTTCCCTGTCCCAGTTCCCTGTGCCTGGAGGTGCGCTCTTGCTCGCTGTTGTGATACAGCCACGATAGGCTGCTCGCCCCTGTTATCAGGAGATGCTCTGTGGTGTCCTCTTACATCCCAGAGCCCTGAAGTGCAGCCCTGAAAGGTGGCTGGATCAGTTAGGATGTGCCAAGGGACACCTGAAGATGCAGCATCCTCAGGCTGGCCTGGCTCTGGGATGTCCTGGCTGTGCTCCGGCCCTACCTTGTGTTCGGATGTCCCATGGTGCTGGAGGTGTAACCTATGGCCTCATCCTGCTGCTTGTTTAAAGCCAAGTGGCACTTTATTCCCCATCCTCTCGGCTGCCAGGGGAGGGGAAGCAGCTTGCCGGTGTTTAGCTGCCGTAAGGAGGCTTAAAAGGAGCCTGGGGAGACATCACATAGGAAAACTCACCCCAGCCCCAGTCCATCTTCGCTTATGGAGCCTACTATTATTTTATGAAGTCTCAGGAGGAGGATAAAGCTGACACGTTCCCAACAGCAGCTCATAAATTGCCAGGGGCAGGGAGGAGCTCGGGGCTGTGAATGCTCCCACCATAGAGGAGCAGATCCCTCCTCCTGCAACAGCGGCATCACTCCTGGCTTTAGGAGGCTTGTGGGGCTCTCTATGAAGAACCAGGAGGGTCCTAACTCTTCCATGGCAGGGCAGGGACCGGTGTTTTCTCCTGCGTAGCAGTGGTGCATCATCCCGAGGAGCCTCTGGTCTTGTGCTGCTCAATGAACATAAGGAATGAAACCTCTTGCTGCGGGCAGGGGTGAAGCTGCGATGGAGGAGCCCTGCAGGACCGTGCCTGGAGGTCCCTGCTGGCTCCCGGCCCGGGCTGTCCTCCCCAAACTAAACGGCGGGCTCTTGAGGCTATTTATGTCTTGTCAGCTCGCAGCCAGAAGCAATTTAATCTTGGCTGAGCGCTGCTGTAGAGGAGCTGTCTGGGCTCCGATGCTTCGGTCCTGATGATAAAGAGTTGATAGGAAAACAAATTAGGATGATGGCAGCTCCGGCAGCCCCGTTAATCAACCTCCCCACAACATCGCAGGCTGCATAATGAATAATCAGCATCGAGGATGCTTTAAGGGGTGGCTTGGGGTTAAGGTGCTGTGTGGGATCAGCATGCCATGCTCAGGGAATGCTCCAATGGACCTCAAACTTATGGTGGGACCCAAGCTGAGACCCTCAGGAATAAGGGAACTGTGTTTTGACTCTACCTCCACAAACAACAGGTTGCAAACTCCTGGCTAAGAGCCCTTGGCTTCGCAGGGATGGAGAAGTTGTTCTTCCAGCTGAGTAAAAGCTGCAAAACAAGCGTAGGCTCTACCTGGCACCTCCTTTCTGGAAGGAATACTGAGTTTCCTCCTGGCTTTAATAGCGACTGGGGTTTATTTCAGCAGTTAATCACAGCCTTGCTGCAGGTTTCGGGTACCAGTTGCCTACAAAGCCTGGCATTGTTCGTGCCTGCTATATTTAAACTGTTTTGTTCTGCTGAGCTTTACTTAGCTTTAGGCTCATTCATTTTCCATCAAAACCCCTCACTAATTGTCATGCTGTAACCCTTGCAGCGATAAAACCTTGTTTTCCAGGGAGATGTGAATATGAGTGGTGGGTATGAAGGTGTGTGCTAAGAAACCTGTGTCTGGTATCTGGAATGTGGAAGAAAATAGGGAAAATTGTCCCAGAATAACGAGCTGGAGCTGTAAATAAGCATCACAGCTTCGGTTCTGGGTTCCATCAGCCAGCTCAGATGTGTGCAAGCAATCCAAAACAGGGCTGTTTCCCCACTCAGCCAGCTGGAATACCTCTGGATTGGGATTTTAGGGAGTAATTGGGATGCAAATACTCACTAAAATTCCAAAGCTGGAGCCTGAACAGATGCTTTTATGGAAGGAGAGATGGGTCTCCAGGGAGAGCATCCCTGCCTGCACTCCTGTGCATGCTTCCTGCCTGTATATCCAGCATCCTGCCTCTTGGAAGGGGCCTTCTACCCAAGTCTGTGCTTTCATCCTCTTTCCCCCAGCTCCATCCTGTATTTTCCCTCTTTGCCAATGCCAGGATGAGGCAAAACCATAGCCCCCACACACACACACTTTTCCCTGCCTCTCTGGCAAAGCCTTGGGAAGGCACAGGGACAGGCTGCCCTGTGCTTCTGGGGGCTCAGGGGGTGCTGGGGTAGAGTGTGGAGCCGCTGTGGCTGTTACCGGGGAGCGTCTGTGCCCGTGGGGGTTGACCTGACAGCCATCATCCCACATCAGGTCAAGAAAACCTGTAATTTCCCCTCTCCATCAGCATTGCTGGGCGGGGGGATAATTGCCATGGAGCTGGAGCCAGGGTGGGATTGAGATCCATCCACGGGGCAGGTCAGGGAATCCTCCCCCACTTTGTGTGCCTGCTCCTTCGGTCCCGCTTTCTGGCTGTCACGGATGCAGAGCCTGTCCCCAGCACCCACCCCGAGCTCCAGCTGGTTTCTGAGCTGACAGCAAAGAAATAAGGGGGGGGAAAACCTGCTTTCAGTGTGTTTTCCAAGCTGTTGCTGGTCGGAGCTCTCAGGTTTCCATCCTGAACGCGGTCCTCACGTTTGGGCTCGCATCCCCCACGGCAGCAGGTCACCTCCACGCTGCCAAGCCCATCACCATCCGCCTTGGGAGAGACAAGGGAGAGGGTTTAGGACACACCAGCCCCCCATTATGGAGTTTGGAGGCAAAGCCACGCGTCGGAGGGGATTTGCAGGCAGCGGCTTTGAGAAGCCCGCGGGGATGTTGATGGGCTGGAGCTCCTTGCTCAACCCCAGGAGGTCAGCGGGATGCACGCAGGGTTTGCTCTGCAGGCTCTGAAGTGATGCAGGGTGGCTTTTAACCCCTTAGCCACGGCCCTGTGCGGTGTTCGATGCATTCATGCTGCGTGCTGGCCAAGGCGAGGATGCAGGCGGTGGGGACAGGGCTGTCTCTCACTTGGAAAGGGTGTGATGGGAGCAGGGACAGTCCCCCCATGTGTGAGGAGCGGCAGCTTGCGGCTCTGCTGCTCCTTATCACATCAGCTGGTGGGAATTAATGAGATGGGGAGGGGGAGCTGCCGCATTCGCCCCTTTTCCCCCCTGGATTGGGCTGGGATCCCAGTTCCTGCAGGAGCCCCATGAATTGCAGAGATGGCTGGGCTGGAGAAGGGGGAGCGGGGGCAGCTGTTGGCAGGTCAGAGGGCTGGGAGGGGAAGTGGAGGTGCTTTAGGTTATAGAGTCACAGAACCCCAACCTGGTTTGGGTTGAAGGGACCTTAAAGCTCCTCCAGCTCCAACCCCTGCCATGGGCAGGGACACCTTCCACTAGAGCAGCTTGCTCCAAGCCCCTGTGTCCAACCTGGCCTTGAGCACTGCCAGGGATGGGGCAGCCACAGCTTCTCTGGGCACCCTGTGCCAGCGCCTCAGCACCCTCACAGGGAAGCAATAGATGGCAAATCCTAGTCTTGGTGACCTGGCGAGGGGTCTTTGGGACCACGGTGTAGCTGGCCCCAGTGGGGCCATGCAGGGCAGGGATCCTGGACTGGTTTCACCCCAGCAGGATGCTCTCATGCTGCTGGTGTCCTCCCAGGAAGCCTGGCACATTGTGTCCCTGCAATGGCATGGGGACATCCACAGTGCAGAGCCGCAGCTGCGCCCTGGGGACAGGGAAGAGGCAGCTGTGATGGGGATGTGCTGGGGACACCATCTCCTCAGCTTGTTCTCCTCCCTCCAGGCTTTCAGCATTGAACAGGGGACACGTCTGGGTCATGGGGACGTGCTGGGGATGTCATCTCCCCAGTCTGGGCTCCCAGCATTGAGCTGGGGCCATGGGGATGAGGTTGGGTGACAGGGAGATGCCTGTGCTCCCCACATTGATCTCTTCTGCTTGCTCCCAGCAGGTATCCACATCCCCTGCTGGGACAGGGGACCCCAGCCATGCACCGGTGGCCGGTGGGGGCCATGTGGCCCGTGTGGGGAAGGAATCCATCACCATCATCTTCCATGGTGCCAGCAACCTGCCAGCCACACGGGAGGGCCGGGTGCCATGGCCATACGTTGTCATGTGAGTACCCAGCATCTATGAAGGGGGACAGTGGGGACAGAGAGAAAGGGTTTAGGAGCTGTTATTAACCTTTGCAAGCCTAAATGAGGGGGAAACCTCTTTAATGGTGCATGCACAAGCACCACCTCCATAGGATGCTCACTGTGGGGAGAGGAGCCAGGATGGCAAAAGGCAAGGAATGGGCCACCTTGGCTTGCGTGGGCATCAGGAAGAAAGCATTCCTAATATTGAAAGTATAAAATGATGTCAAAGAATCCACAGGGTAAGGCTGCCTGGATTTCAGGATGATATCACAATAAATAAAAGAGTGTTTTAATAAATAAAACAGAATGCTTGGGTAAAGAGAACTTGGCTCCTCGTGCATTATGCATGTGCCAGGGGACTCAATTAGCCGGTCAGGCTTTGGTCTGTGTTAAGAGGGAGGCCGCTCTGCTCAACACTGCTGCAGGGTGAGCCCACGTTCCCAAAGAGCCTTTCCAGGAGGCAGAAAAGCTTTGGCATTGCTTCCCATGGAAAAGGGGGGAGAAAGCGGCTGTCAGTGGCTTCAGAGCATCTCCCGGCTGCAGAGCTGGGTTTCTCTGGGTCAGTGCTGGGGCAAGCTGGTACCCAGGTACCAGGCAACAGGCGTGGGGCTCATCCACTGGGGGCAATCAGCCTGGAAACATCTCCTCTGCAAACATGTGGAGCAAACTGTTGCTTGCTGGGCGTTTTCCAGCGCAGAGACCCTCAGCTCTGCAGTGAAGGGGGCTCTGAGGCCTGTCGGGGTGGCACAGCGGCAGCCCCACGGCGCCCGGTGCCAGCTGCATCCCGGAGTCTCCTGGGCAGGAGGGATGCATCTCTCCATCGCGATTTTGCCAGCCAGGGCTGGCTGGCACCTGCAGCCCGATGGGAGCTGGATGGTGTGGGGCTGGCAGCCCCCACTGCAGCCCCTCCATCACCCCTTCCCCTCTTCCCCCCCCCCCCCCCCATAACAAGGACCCGCTCTCAGCCCAAGTAACTCCCCCACAGGAGTTGTCTCTATTTCCATAAACCAATTATACCCAGATGATCTCAGGAGATTTAAACATCAATATCCTAAATGATAGCACGAGGGTGGCGTGTGATTGTTGCATCTCTCTTTACATTCTGGTGCTGCTCCATCACCGCATTGCCATGGTAACAGGGGAGTGATGGAGGGGAGGGTGGTATTAGGGATGCAGGACACATGAGGGGCCTTTTAGTAACCATAGTGAGGGAGCCAAGGCAGAAGGGAATCAGTTATTGTTTCCCAGGGCACTTGCTTTTGAAGGAGAGTAGCATGTTGCAGTTAAAAGGTGGGGTTTATAGATGACAAGCAGAAGCAGTTGGTGGATGGGGACCTGATGGCAGCTGATCCCCCCCCCAGAGCTGCTGGGTACCACCAGTGGAGCCAGCCTGAGCTCAAACTGAGCATCACCAGAGCATCAATCCCCAAAATCAGGAGTGGGATGGGAGGAATTGAGCAATCCCACTCCCACCAGCCCTTTGTGGCTGTGCCCAGTTGCTCATGCCCGGACTTGGCATCCCACATCCATAGCTGTGTCCATCCACTCACTATTCCTGCTCCATAGTTGTGTGCACTGCTTCCAGCTCTCTGTGCAGAGGGTTGGGGAGGGAATGGCTCAGTAGAGTGAACCTGAAAGACCCCTAGGAGAAGGAGAACCTGTGCAGGCATCCAGATAGGCTTTGGCTCATCCCTGCCCTGGAGAGGATGGGGCTTCTGCTCCACGGATGCTGCGGGGATGCGGCAGTGGCTTGGCTCTGATCCTCATCCGTAGAGCGCTGAGCAAATCCCCACTTGCTGCTTTCAGGGGCACCTGTGGGCTTGCTCCACATCTTCTTTCACTCACAAACTGCTCCTGGACCGGTGTGATGCAGGGATGACCTTGGCTTGCTTTGCCATTAACATGTTTGCAATTAACAGCACAAAGAGGCCGGCTCTGTCCGGTTTCTCCTCCACATCGAGTACCACAAAAGCACCTCCTCACTCCTTCCTTTCTGTTCTTCAGCACCAAGAAACTCAAGGTCGGTGCTGAATGCACCATCTGCTCCCAGCCAGGGGAATGGGGACTCCAATGTCAATGGGTTTGCTATGCAGGCAGTGGTCCTGGCTGTGGCGTGGATGGGATGCTCCACCTCGGAAGGGGTTAGGGCGCTCCTGCAAGCAAAGTCTTCTTGCTCTGCCATGCACCCAGAAATAAACCCAGGGCTCAGCTGATAACCCTGGAGCAAGGGGGGTGGGAAGTGGGAGTTTGGGGGTCCCCTCCTTGCCCCAGCACTTGGCTTAGGTCATGGTGGGATGAAGATGGAGCCAGCGTTAGAGGGTCAGGAGCAATGTGAAAATGGGGTTTCTCACATGAGCAATTCTCCCTTTCTCATTCTGCACCTGCTCAGCATCCCTCTTACACCTCTGCCCCGAGCACAATGGTGGGAGCAGCATTGCCTTCTCCAGGGCCACATCCTGCACCACCACATGAGCGTGTATCGGTCCTGCAGCCATGGCCATGCTACACAGGGGGTTTGTGCCCGCACCACCACATTGCCACTGCAGGGATGTCCGCCCCAGGAAATAACTTGCCCTGCAGAGATGAAACCTTGGGATGCCAGATGAATGTTTAGGCTGGGTCTGGCCCTTTGCTGTGCCCTGGGTACTGCACGCAGCGCCGTGCTGCGTGACACTGTCCCCACGTGCTGCAGCTGAGACATTGATGTATAAGAACTCCCTGGGGGCGGCCGTCTTTACCCTTTATCTTTATCTCTCATCACGGCAGTGGGTGGCTGGTGCCTCCCCACATGCGTGGCAGCCTGCCCCAGCACAGGCAGGGAGGGATGCTGAGCACCAGAGGAGCGTCTCGTGGTCCATCCCAGCCAGGTCCTGCCCCAGGCCATGAAATCTGCAGTGCCTGCTTGCTGCAGACCCCGTCTCCTGCCCCTCCAGGTCCGTGGTGAGGAGGAGACATCAAACCATCTCCCCTCTCTGCCATTCCTGCTGCCCCCGGCCTGTTCATTTGATTCTGAAGCACATCCCCATGTGTTGTGGAGGTTTTCCCCACCCCCTCCCCACTTCACAGCTCTTTTTGAATGCGCTCTCATCCTTAGGCAAGTCTATAATGAAGGGGGCCCAGAGCAGCCTGTTCTCACCCTCCTCCTCCTCCCACCCCCCAGCCCAGGTTTGCCTTCATTCGGACTCCAAGCACGTTGCTGGTAGAGCAAATCCCCCACAGAGCTCATTACTGGAGAGCCCGTTCCCTTCCAGCCCCTCTACAACTGGTGCCAGCCCAATGCTAATTCCCACCTGGCAGAGCCGGACGGCTCGGCTCCATCCCTTCAGGATGCAGGTGGGCTTCTCCATGGGGAAGGGAACACGTGGGACATGTGAGAGGAGCATGGGATGTCGATGCAGCGTGGCTGAGGGTCCATTCAGCAATGAGAAGGGATGGAGGTCTTGCAAGCATAGAGCATCCTCCCATCCATCTGGGATGAACCTGCTTGGTCCCACCACTACTTGGAGCTCATCCTGCAGCTGGAGGGACCTTTACCATCTCCTTTCCCCTGAGCTGGCATCTCCAGCTCCCAGCAGTGGCAAAGTGCCACCAGTGCTCTCAGCCACCAGTGTGCTCCCTAAGAGCTGTGCTGGCTCTGCTCCAGCAGGAGCTTTCCTAGGGAGCCAGCACTGGACACTTTATCGTCTTCATATCCAGAGCAACCTAACGACAGGGCTGGGGCATCTGTGTCACACTGACCTGACACCACGTCACCATCTCCCTTCACCCCAGGTCAGGGATGGAGAGGACTCGCGGTCACCATGGACCGCTCTACCATGCTCTTGGGATTCCCAGGATAACACCAAGAGGCTCCCTGGGTCCCCTTAAAGATCTGCCAGGGAGCGAGGGCATTATAATCATCAGCCAAACTCATGAGGAATTGATGGTCAATTGATACAAGTGAGAGGAACAACCCCAAACCAGGCCTCCACCAGCACAGATGAATTACTCAGGGCCCATGGCTGCTGTAATTAATGCTCAGCCTCGTTATGTGCTGACTTTAATGATGGCAGTCGTTAGCATTCAATCTTCTCCTTTCCCAGCAGCCTCCTCCCTGTCCCTTCATCAATACAGCACATAATTAGCCTCTGGGGTCTGAAATAGCCTTTTGGATAAAAGGGGCTACAAACCCCTTTTATCCAAGGGCTGGCTGCGCTGAGCTGGGACAGCGCTCATCCCTCTCCCAGCTCCCTGCTCACACATTCCCCTTCCACACCCAGCAACCAGCCTCTTTCACCTCCCTTTTCCTCCCAGTGAGACCAGCAGAGGGGATGAGCAGAAGCCGGAGGTGACCCGAGCATCCTCAGTGCCCACCCATGCACCCGCCTGGGAGGAGGAGGTGACGGTGGAAATGGATGCTGAAGATGTAGGGTGGGCAGGTGAGAGCATCGGGGACCATGGGGACAGGGGCGAGATGGGGCTCATCTCAAAGGGTTAATTTGGGGATATTAGGGAGCCCATGCACCCAGGCAGAGCGTGGCTGTGATGGGGACAAGTCATGCCCTGAGCCATGCATGGCTGTGGTGGCTTCAGAGTAGGACCAAGAGGGACATGCCTCTTGCTGCAGGATGGGGCAAGTGACAGTGTTGAGCTCCAAAGCATCCCATGGGAATAAGCATGAGGTGAGAGCATCCCACATCTTACCCCACTGCCGTCCTCACCCCTTGTATGGGTTGGACCCATGTCAGGGTGCTGCTACTCCCCGTGCTGGGCTGCTAAGTCTGTAACTGTAATAAAACTCATGGCATTAGGGGCTGGGATTTGATTCTAATCACACCCTTACAAAACCAACTGTGGGAGCCAATCTTCCCTTCACACCTAATCCCATTAGACCCTGACCTAAATGAAATTGAGGAGCTTTTGATGTGCTTTGGACCTGCCCCGTGCAGTACTGGGAGAGATGCTGGGACCTCCATCCCCTCTCTTCTGCCTCCTGGCATCCCCCAGATGTTCAGAGGTGTTCATCCCCCAGATGTTGAGACTGGAGGTGTCGTTTCCACATGCAGCTCACACCTTTTCTTGCCCAGAAATACAGTTTCCACCTTTTTTTTTGCCCATAAATACAGTTTCCATTGGTGGGGCTGCCAAACATGATCCATCACAGGCGATGAGTAGCAGAAAAGCCGCTTGTCTCTTGCTCGACCCTGGAACATCCTCCCTGGTGCTCTTTCCACAAGGAGCTGGGAGAAAAAGAGCATCTCCATATGAACCAAGCACTTGCTCAAAAGCAGGGGCTCGGGAAAGCGTGGTCCATGCTCTTACCTGGTCCATGCTCTTACCTGGTCCATGCTCTTACCTGGTCCATGCTCTTATCTGGTCCATCATCTTCATTTCAGGGGCGCACACAACCTGTGGCATCGCCAGGTTGGCCAAGCAGGAGTTAAGGCGGGTGCGTCGGCACTGTCATTAAGCTGGGGGAAGGGAAGCCCAAGTCTTGATGGCAGCATAAAGAGAGGGCGGTTTTCCCTTCCATCAGCTCCTTTTTTTGTCATAAAAGGCTCCTGGTGCTTGTCAAGTAAATTGCAGCTTTGCTTTAAACTCAAGGAAGAGCTGGGGGTGCCAGCACCCGTGGGGTGATGCTGCTGTGCTGGGGAACAGATGGGTACCGGGCACCCCTGAGAGGACAGGGGTGCACCATGGGCTGCCCCAGGGCAGGGATTGGGGATGGGGAGGTGGATTAGATGCATCAGTGGGAAATTCCGGCTTCTTAGATGGGAATCTGAGCTGCATCGGTGCCAGTTGCTCACAGGCTTTGCTTTCCTGGGGATGCCTTGGGAATGCTCTCGATGGCTCGTAGGGATCCATGTGTGTGTGTGTATGGGAACCCAGGATGGATGTAAATCCCATCCCTGTTCACCCCAACGTGACCTGTGAGGGGAAGGAGCTGCTGAGAATGGATCAATCCCCCCCTCATCTGTCCTTCCATCACCCAGACCTTCCCCAAACCTCTCCCCATGGCTTCACCCACTGTCCCCTTCCCCAGATCCCATGGGCAGCCCCACTCATCCTGACAGCTGACCCTCTCCCTTCCAGCCCTGACTCTCACCGTGGCAGATAAAGCCACCAAGGAGGCACTGGGGACATTCCAGCTGCCGGTGCGGCACCTCCAGCCCTTCCAGCCCCACCGCTGCAGGCTGGTGCTGGTAGGTACAGAGCCTGCCCCTGCATCCTCCTGCTTATTCCTGCTTATTACTTGGAGGTTCACCAGCTCTAGAGGAGGGTGGCAGGCAAAGAGAGCCTTGTGTAACGGTGTAATCCCGGTGGGAAAACCGAATTTGGCTGGGGAAGGTGCACAAAGAGGCTTGTGAGCTTCCCACAAGGTGAGAACAAGGCAGGCCTTGTGCGGGGCTTTTCCCATCTCCTCCAGTGGGAAAACAGGGAGGAAAAGCAATGGGATTGCTGGTTGGGAAGTGCTTTCACCCTCAGCATCCTGGGGAAGGAGATGTGGGACCGGGCTTTACATCAGAGCGTTCATTACGCAGGGGCTGCTGTGCATTAATCAGCACAGGCTCGTCCCCGGTTGCAGAGAGGAGCCCCTCCGTGGGGATTTCTCCATCCCAATGTGTTAACAGTTTGGGCTGGGTTTTGATAGCTCCCCGTGTGGCTGAGACCTGGGAAACTCACCCAAAACCTCCCCCAAAGCAGGCTCCCCTCTGCTGTTTGGCAGAAATGAGTTTCCTCTTCCCTGTACAGAGATTGGGAACGATTAAATATTTAAATGCAGTAGGATTTATTATATTGATCTTTTCCGGGAAGGCTCAGGGGCACTGTGAGCTTTCATCATCTCTTGGTGCTTCATTGTCAGCGATGGGCTGCCGGAGCGCTCGCATTTGGTGGCCTTGCCCCTTCCTCCTCCCATGGTTCACTCTCCTTCTCAAACAGCCAAGGACACAGGACCCTGTGGGGACGGTCCTGCACGTCACCATCACCCGCAAAGGGAGCTTCGTCCCTCGCTGTGATGGATTGAGCTATGTGGCCTTGGAGGTGAGAGGTGGTCCAAGATGGACAATAACATCGTGACCTGGGGAGGATGCTGCTGCATGTGGCTGTTGATGCTGATTTAGGGCAGCTTCTTCCCCCTCCCTTGTCTTCTGGTCCCTCACCGTGGACCCACAGGTGCTGCTGCAGGGACTGTCAGCCCCTTTGGCCACCCCTCCTGGGCCCCTGGTGGCTGTGGCCAGAGTTGTGACCAATGTTCAGGAGTACAAGTGAGTGATGGCCATGGGGGGCTGTTGGTGACACGGGTGGGGGACACTGGGCTTGGGTGCTATATCCCCCTCCCATGGTGCTTGGCTTGCCAGGAGTGGATGTGGCCCCACACATGCTGATTCTCTTCTTTTCCATCACTTACCAGGCGCCGCATGGAGAAGCATCCCACCTTTTGTCCTGGCATCACCCCCACCACCATCACATTCCCAGACCCTCCAGCAGCAGCCTTCTGCATCACCCGAGCTGCCAACCACGGCTACCCTCAGGTACAGGGCTGAGCACATAGAATCATGGAATTAACTAGGTTGGAAAAGACCTTTAAGATCATCAAGCCCAACCTTTACATCCATTGGGAAGCGCCAGTCTGGCAACACCCATCCTACTTGGGTACCGATGCGCATCCCTCCTTCAGCAGGGGAGCTGAGCACCCCATGCTGTAGGGGCAAAGCGATGCTTTGAGCATCAAGAGCACAGTGCTTACATCCGCCTCGCCCTGCCTGCAGAAACCCACAGGCAGCTCCTTGCTTGTGCCTTTGTCCTTCATTTTCCTCCCTGCTCTGCTCTCGCCTCCAGCTCGAGTGCTGCCTCTTGAAGGCAGAGACCTTCTCCTCCCCAGGCCTCAAGTACCACCGGCAGAGGCAGCGACATCATCAGAATAGCTGTTGCCAGGGCAACATACACTTTCGGCATCATCGGGAGCAGGAGGGCTCTGCTTTTGTTCCTGGGCCCTGCCAAAAACTGGCAAGGAGGGAGAGGCAGGGCCCTGTTGGGATGCTGTGGTGGGGAGGAGGTGTGATGGGGCGCTGTGAAGATGGACCCAGAGCTGCTCCATCCCTTTGCCTCTGAACGGTGCCAGCCGCAAGCGAGGCGAGGGCGGATGTCCGGCTGCCCTGGAGGGAGGGCTGCAGCCGGTCCTGCAACCAGTGCACATGCACTTCCCCACCTCGCTCCTCCTCCACCATGCACTGAATTTAGAGCATCTCGGAGCAGAAAGCCCCTGTATCAACACGTTCAGGGAGCCCATACATAAAATATTACCTGGAGGAGGGCGGCCAAATGGCACATGGCCCTGGAGGGGGGGAATTACCATAAAAATCATTAGTGCGTTTCATCCAGTACAATAATTGTTGGTTTATTGCTCCACCCCCCCACCTCCCGGCGTTGTTCTTTGCAGGTGAGAAGTGGGGGGAGATTCGAGGATCTTTTGCTTTGGGTCTGCACCTTCTCGGGGCCCTCCTGTGAGCAGCACCCCCATCCCCAGCAATGGGTTTGGGGGATGAGCAGATATGAGGAAAGGAATTCCCATGTGCTTGTCCCTGTGTTGTATCCCCCCCATCTCTTTGCTGCAGGATGCAGCATCCCAAGGCTGCGGTTTCCCAAGCAGAGCAGGGATGTTTCTCTCCTCTAACCGCAGCCAAAATGCATTTCCTTTGGATTTCTGTGGATAAATACACACAACCCCCTGTGAAGTCGTGGGATGAACCCAAGCCAAGCCCCACAGCCCTGGCAGAGGCAGCGGTGCCAGCATGGAGCTGTGGGAGCCCAACGAGGGAGGACGAGTGATTAAACCTGGCCATCTGGCCTGCGTGCGTGCTGCTGCTTCCTCCTCCTCCTCCTCTTCCTCCTCCTCTCCGTGCCCACATGGCTCTGACTGTCTTTGCCCATCCTGGAGGATGCTCTGCCTGGGGATGCTGCATAACGCCCTGTCTCCTGCCTCAGTTTCCCCACCTGTAGGATGCGGTTCCTTCCCAGGGAGGATGAGCTCCTAAGGAAATGTTAGGGGGAGGCTGGGAGGAGGGAGCATTGCCGCTCCGCTTCCAGAGGTTAATGGCTTTCCCTGAGCTAACTCCTGGCCAGGCTAATGGGATTCAATACTCCTGCCAGCCCAGCGTGTCCTCTCGCCTGTCGCTTCCCATCAGCGTCTGCAGACAACGGCGCTTGGGTTCACCTTCAGCAGGACACCCCTCTTATGTAGAGGGTTTCAGTGATGGTTAACCCTTCCCTGCTTCGTTAACTCTTCCTGGGGTGCTCTGCTTGGGCCAACAGCTCCTTTCTCACCAGAAGGGATGGGTTTGAACATGCTGGGGGCAATGGCAAAGCCGTGGGATGGTGGGCACCAGGCTGTGCCTCCTACCGAAAGCCACGCTACATCTGTCCTCCCAACACCCAGCTCAAGCCTTTGTGATGTTGGTCCCCTCTCTTTCTGGGTTCTTCTCCTCCAGTTTAACCCCCTTCTCTGGAGTTTCTTGCTCTCTTCTGGGGTCAGACAGGCAGCCATGAGGACCAGGGCATGGCCCCATCCTTTGGGAAGGCAGGAGAGATGCTGTGAGCTTGGCCATCTCTACCTCTACTCACGCCAACGATGCTGCCTTTGAACCAACCTTTGGGAGATGAGCTGGAGTAGCCAAGAGGGATGAAGGAGCCTCCTCCTCCTCCGCATCCCCTTTGTTGTGTTTCTCCAGGTGGCCCTTGGCAGAGGCGGTTGCTGTGCCAAGACGTCTGCCCAAATCAGTGCACTGGCTCTGATGCCCCAGTGCAGAGCATCCATCTGTCCCATCGAGCCGGTGGGAGACAGCCCAGCCCTGGCAAGCATTCCCTGCCACCCACCCCCAAAACCGGAGGCGGGATCGGGAATGTCATCTCCCATCCTTGCCCCGGTGAGAGGAGCCATGTGGGCTCAGGACCTCCGACAATTGGGGTCAAATTCACAATCTGCTCCCACGTTTGACTCTTCCCTTCCCTGCTGAGGCTGAACCAGCACCAGCTCGCAGGGTTTTGAACAGGGCCATGCTAGGAAAAGTAACTGGAGGCGGCATTTGATGGGGTTTAGGAGATTTTCCCCACCAAATTGGGCTTTGTGAGGCTGATGGAGCAGCCCCGTGGGCTGGGATGCAGGCTGGAGGGTGCTGAGCTGCATCCGGCTGCTGGGAGCTGCCCCCGCCTGTGTGGGTTTTCCCTAAGGATTTCCAGGCACAGACTGGGCTCCCTGCAGTCAAAGCGAGCTGTATCCCAGGTAAAAGCCCCAGCTGATGCTTGGGAGCCCCTGGTTGAGAAAGCCAGCCCAGTGCTGAGCCAGCACTGAAGTGATGCCCGTTGCAGCCCAGCATGGAGGTGTTTTGGGGCTCTGAAGCCTCCCAGCCCCTCACTCTCTTTGCTGACATCCCCCAGGGCTGGGTAATGCACCACTGCGGGTCTCCAAGGTGTGTAATGCCCATTAACATCCCAAACACAAGCAGAGGGAGACCCCCCCTTACTCTTCCACCCTCCCCAATGGAGCAGAAATGTGCTGATGCAGAAAAGCCGATCAGCATCTCGGCCCCACTGGGCGACGGCGGCCGAGGGGATGCAGTAACAGCATTAAACAGGAGCTGCTGTCAATAACTCCTCAGCGCTGGGCAGCCGGTGTTAGAGCTGACCTTTGGAGAGCTGGAGGCGAAGGGGAGCAGCTGCTGGAGGGGATGGAGCGATGCCATTTCCAACAGCCGAGCACGGCCCAGGGGATAAACGTGTTGCCCGCTGCTCGATCTCTGTCGGGTGAGCTGGACCCGGGCCATAAGCAGGGGTTTGGGGTCTGTACATCATCCCTTTCCTTCACGTGAGCACCAGGTTGCCCGACAGATATCTAAGGCTCACCCTGGAGTCAGTGCAGCTCATTCTCCACGCTCTTCCCACCGTGGGTAGCTGGTCCATGGGCTGTTTTCCCCCTCTGGCTCTGCGAGGGGAAGATGCTGGCAGGGATTAGCCAAAAAGAAGCAGCCAAGCTTGAAGACCCACTGAAAACCAGCCCAAGCCACTGGGATTTGGGGTTGCTTTGGAGCCAGGGATGAGATGCAGCTGCACGAGTCGTGCTTTCCTTTACCCCCACCTCTCCTCTCTGTCCTCTCTCGCTGCTTCTTTATCTCTAGAGAGAGAAGGTATCTGAAGGATAATTTTCCTGTTGTCTCCTAAGATGTCCCGAGCAGCCGGGCCCCCAGAGCAGCCAACCTGGAACAGCTCCTTCCTCTTCCAAGGCCGGGACGTGGCCACCATCTTCTCTGAGGACACCGCCTTGGCTATTGAATATTATCCATACAAAGCCAGTGAGTCTGGGACCCCAGTGAGGATTCTCTCCCTCATCCCTGGTTCTGGCCAGGGATACCTCCTGGGCTGCCATGCCTCCAGCCAGCTTCTCTCGCCCCTTCCCCAGTGTGGGATGCTCCAGGCACCCTTGCTCCCATCGGATACTCAGTGCTGCCCCTCACCAGCCGTGTATTCCGGGAGCTGGTGGCACGGAACGGTGGGGTGCGTGTGGATGGCCTCGCCATGCAGGTGAGCTCAGGGTGATGCTGGGCAGGGTAGCATTGGTGGCACCCGTAGGTGATGGTACCCGTAGCTGCTGGGATGGGGGGATGGAGATCCCACCTTCACATCTGCATAGGCAGCATGGTGCAGAGCCCCGAGCTTCCCAGGGGAAGATGGGGTCTCTGCTCCGAAACTCAGCTCTGGGCCTCTGGGTGACATCTGGGTGATGCCAAAGGCTCTGAAAGCTCCAGTGGATGCTCTGACCCTTCCTCTGCCTCCCCAGGGCACAGACCTCAAAACCACAACTGGAGCCATCCCAACCGTGAGGCTCTGCCTGCAGCTCCTTCAATCGGAGGTGAGATGCTGGGGATGGAGAACAAGGCAAGCAGGGATGGGGACAGGGACAGGGCTCTGTGGAGCTGCTACCCTCTCTCCAAACCTCTCAGGTGGGCATCAGCTGGGCTGAATCCGGGTTTTATCCTGTGCCTGTTGTCTCAGGGCTCTGGATTGTGCCACTGGACAGCTGGAAACAGCAGCATCATCCTTGCCCTCCCACATCCCTCCCTTTCCCAGGGCTCTCGTCATGTGCTCGTACTCCTGGGACATTCCAGCTGGAGGCAGGGAAGCAGGCAGGGTGCAGGCAGGGTATTTGGGAGAGGCCGTTCACCGTCTCAGGGCAGAGAAGGGCCAGGCTGGTTAACCACGGTGACAAATGCCCAGCTGTCTCCATCCTTCAGCATTTGTGCTCCCCAGGGATGTCACAGCAGGGAGGCAGTTCGGCTGCCTTTCCCATGGAGGAGGGAACCCTGTTAACCCTTGGCTCCAGGACTGCTCCTTGGGCAGGTTGGGATGTGGCCATCGATTCAATCACCGCATCCACCAGGCTCTGCTCCCATCTGCAAAGGGAAACCCTGTCCATAGAGTAAATGTGGGACAGGTCTGGATGCTCGGCTGGCGACCACATCCCCCTTATCCCCCAGGGAGCTGCGCTGGGCCTGGGGCTGGCTGGTGGGGGGCTTTGCAGTGATTGCCCAGGGGGGTCAGCGACAAGGGGTCTGCGTGTGATGAATTATTCACATGGGTGTCACTAAGTGCAGAATTAATCCTCTTGCTTCCAGCTGGCTGCTGCACTAAATTATCACTCGCAGTCATGCGGGAAAATGCTGCGGAATTCATTTAGCTGATTATTGTTTTGATCTGGGAGCTGCGAGGGGGTTTCTTCTCCTCTACCCCAGCCTCTCCCTTTCCCCCCTCCAGCCCTGCCTTCCTTAATACATGTAAGAGAGGGAGTGGAGACAACAAGCAGGAGAGCCAGAGCCAGCCTTGGGTCCGCGTCTGGTTAATTCATCCCACAGCAGACAGATCCGGAGTGATGCAAATCAGTGAGCGATGAGGGTGAGGGCAGGTTTGGCTCCTCCTTGCCTTTGCCAAGGGCTTGTTCCTTCCCTGGAAGTCAGGGTTTTCTATGGATGGTGGTCCAGGTGGCTGCCTGTGATCCCCAGCACCCAGAAAACACAGCCCTGAGGGCAGGGGTGATGTTGCAAGGGCAGAGCTTCTCTCCCCATTGAGGCAGCCACAGGTTTCAAGGGTTGTTGAAAGCTGGATTTCCAAGTCCTCAGTTTATGGATTAGTCCTGAGCTCAGTTTTAGGATGCCAAGAAGGAGCCAAATGGGGAGCAAGAGGCAAAGGCGGCAGCAGCATCCCTGCCTGCCCTTCCTCACAGCTCTCCCCAGCCACTTGGCAAAGGAGAACAGTTTTACCAAGCTCGTCTTGTTTCTTTTCTTATTCTTTATTTTAATGTAGAGAGCTGAAAATGTATAACCTAGATTGGCTGGGCTTTTTATAACAAACAACAGCTAAATAAACCCTGGGCCATCTGTACTCCCCGGCGCACCAGGAGCCAGGCATAAATCTGTACCCCCTCTGCAGGGATTTCACCGATTCCTACCAAGGCTCTGGATGCTCCTGAGCTTCAGATGCTCACATCAACCCTTCACACCAAGAGAACAACCTCAGCACCAGGGCTTTCTAGGGATAAGGAGCTTCCCGTAAATAGTCAGGCTCTCAAAACACTGCTCCATTTGTAATAGCCGCAGGGAGCAGCTGCTTTATTAAAAGCCAAGAGCCCCGACACCAGGGCTGAGCAAAGAGGACTCCTGTTATCTCAGGGAAAGGGCAGCGCTGGGTTGCAGCCACCCGAGTAAAGGCACGGAGGCCCCCAGGTTTGCCCCCACCCAGCCGGTTTTCCTCCCTCTGGAGCACAACCGGGAACAAAAGACTTTGATCATCTCGGGGAGACAAAGAAATCAAAGACTTCAGCAAAACGCTCTCGTTTGAGCAAATTAACAGCTCAAAAAGGGTTGAAAGGGGAAAACCTGCAGCCGACTCCATCCACCTCCATTCTGACTTCACCCACCTCCCTTCCGACATCATCCACCTCCATAGCATCTTGTGGATCAAGGCAGGACTCCCGTTTCCCCTTCCTTCTTCTTTTCCCAGCCCAAATCTGGTGTCTTGCCCAGGAAAGCTGAGTTTGACCATGCAATAACCAGTGGCAAATCCATGTGCAGGCACAGCAGGATGCTGTCCCCAGTGTGCCCAGGGGGTGCTGCGCCCCAGCCAAGGGCTGGGAAATGCACACCGGAGGCATCTTTATTCCTGAGGGATTTATTCATTGCCCCAATTTATTAACCAGCCTTGTTTTGCACTTTGTTTTGGCACAACCCTTGCTCAGCCCATTAACTCGGCCCTTGGGACCTTCGGGGTCACCTCAAGCCTTTGCCACCCTCTTTTGCTCCTGTCACCCGAGATGAGGTCTGGGAATGTGGTGAGAGCCTCTGATAAGAAGGGAAACGCAGGAGCTGCTTTTTCCAGGCAAGGGGAAGGAAAATCAACAGGCTGGCTACAGCATCGCCTAAACAGCCTTAATTTATGTAATTGCTGCCATTTAAAAGCAGCAGCAGATCGGCGCCTGGTGTAAATTGTCACAGCGCCGGGGTGTAAATTGTCACCGTGCCAGCCCCTCCATCAAACCCCTTTTGGGCTGGCAGAAAGATGGGTTTACACTTGGGTCGGGAAGCGGGGATCGCCATGTGTTTCCTGTTGTTTCAGCCCGTCCGGATGGGTTTGTCCTCTGCGAGCACCAAAACTGAGGCTTGCAGCCCCCAAACCCCATTTCAGGGGATGCAGGAGGTGGTGGAAAAGCTGGTCTGGGGGAAGCATCTTGTCTCCGTGAGCCAGCAAACCCTCCGAGGGCTTTCAGCAGAGCTGAACTGCTCCTGCTTGCCAGCTCTTGATTGACACCTCTCAATCAAGTACAGAACCCCTTCCTCTTCTTGCATAGCGGGTTACGAGAGGCGTTATGGCATCGCTGCGGGCTGGGAGCTGCGTTACACAGGGAAAGCCGAGCCAGCGAGGATCCAACAGGAAAAAAAAGAAAAGCAGGGAATGTCTTTGTTAAGGAGAATTTGTTGGTTTCCTCCTGCCATTCCCAGGGGAGCGTTCAGGGCAGCGCTAATTGAATTAAGAGCACGTGTGCTCCAGCGAGCAGCTCTCCGATGGGCCGTGGTGGTGGGGCCGGGCTGGCCTCGGCTCCGGCACGGCACGGTGGGCAGCAGCTGTCTGCCGGCCCCCGTAATTGCAGGCAGAGCCTAAACTGTTGCATTTTGCATGATGTTATTCCCCGTGGAGGGGGAGAGTGGCGGGGCGGGGGGCAGCTTCACCCCGGCTTTGATGCTGGAGGAGCTGGGCTGAGGTCGGGGCCAGTAGCATAATGAAATGCGGCTTCACAAGGGATGCTGATGCTGATGGCGTTAATGAGGCAGCGATGGGGAAGGGCACGAGGATGCCTCCGGACACCCCCTCGGAGGGGAGGGATGCTCACTGCTCTCATTACCTGCACTAAACAGGCGAGGCTGGGTGCAGGCACGGAGTAATACACAGCGCGGGCCACTTCACCGCTGCCCATGCCCACAGCTCATTTGGAGAGGGCGCTCAGCCTGATTGCTCATCTGGAGAAAGGAAGAGAGCATCTGGGAGGCAGGGAGCAAACAAGGGTGGTGAAACAGGAGGGTGCTGGGTGCTGTGTTTTGGTGCAAAGATCCCAGCAGCGAGGCTGGTCCTCGTCACCCAAACCTGCCCTTGTACTGGGAGCCGGGATGGCCAGACCATGGAGAGGGTCCCTGTGCGTGACCTTGCCATGGGAGGCGGCAGCGAGGAGCGCACGCACTCCATCATTTATTCCATTAGATCCAACTTCCCCCTCTAAGTGGATTAGAGGGGAGTCTATAAAAGCCAGGCTGGTGGGAGGAGAGCGGGGTGCGCAGAGCAGGGAAATGAGGGGCAGGGAAATCGCATTACTGCTGCCAGCAGCATCTGGCAGAGGGTCTGGCAGGAGCTGCCGCTGTGCCGGAGGTGCCTTATCCGCCAGGCACCCAGTGACCAGAAGCAAAGTGGCTTTCAGCATCCCTTTGTACCCACAGGACTTGGGAACCCACCTCCTGCCTGCCCAGGAAGGGAAGAGATGGGCTGAGCTGGGCACAGACCTGCTGTTTCCACCTTGTGAACAGGAGCTGAGCATGAGCAACCCACAGCTCTTTCCCATCACACTGGTCCTGGTGGCACATTGGGGATGTGGCTGGTGGGTCAGGGGACATAGCATCAGGGAATTGTTTGGGTTGGAAGGGACCTTAAAGCTCATCCATTTCCAACCCCTGTCACGGCACAGGGACACCTTCCACTAGAGCAGCTTGCTCCAAGCCCCTGTGTCCAACCTGGCCTTGAACACTGCCAGGGATGGGGCAGCCACAGCTTCTCTGGGCACCCTGTGCCAGCGCCTCAGCACCCTCACAGGGAAGAGCTTCTGCCTTAGATCTAACCTGAACTTCCCCTGTTCCAGTTTGAACCCATCACTCCTTGTCCTATCACTACAGTCCCTAATGAAGAGTCCCTCTACAGCATCCTTGTAGCCCCCTTCAAATATTAGAAGGTTGCTCTGAGGTCTCCACGCAGCTTCTCTTCTCCGGTCTGGCACGCAGCGGTGCCATTTCCTTGCCCCTGTCACCACATCCATCCATCCTACAGACCGTTGCCTTTCCTTTCCCAGAGCCCAGCGGCATTCCTGACCCCATCAGGCAGTGATGTCCTCCCCAGCCTGGACCCTGCCACTGGCAGCACACTCAAGAGGAGCAAAGAGCTGCGAGCAGCCCCCGTGCACCCACGTTATTGCCAGGTAAGAGCCCATGAGAGCGGGCAGTGATGCTGTGCCAGCTGCATCACCCTACCAGCCCCCACAAAGGCACATGCAACAGTGCAAAACTGGCATAAACCCCGGATTTTAAACTGTGTTGTGCCCATGGAGGGGCTTTTCCATCAGTGCCAACATCCCTGATTCCAGCTGATGTGGGGTTCACGAGGGCTGGAGGGGAAGCAGCTTCCCATCACCTTGCTGGGGGCAGCCTGGATGCGCCAGCTTCGATCTGATCGCTCAGTCCCAAATCCATTTAGCAAATTCTCTCCTTTCATGGCTGCATTATGTCGGGAGACCCCAGGCACCTCCAGCTCGTACCTTTTGGTTCCAGGAGAAAGAAAAAGCAGCTGTTCTCCTCCTCCTTTGTGCTGATAAATGGAGCCCTTGGATGGATTTAACCCCAGCCCTCGTGGTCCTAATATCTTCCTGTACTTTAAGCCATCTGGCTTTAAAAATAACAGGTCGTTAAACCCCAATTCTGCTTATTAAATAGCTAGGAGGGAAGGGGCGGGGGGGGAGTCCTGCACTGCCCAAAAGCCCAGTTATTTCCCCAGCAGCAGCTGCCCAAACCCCACCTTCGCCCTAATCCCTGTCCCTGGGATTCAGGCTGCAAAGCAGGAGGAAAATTAGCAATCAAATAAGAGCCATAAAAAGACAAATACAGAGCAGCTATTTGGTTTTCCTCCAGCTGTTTTAATTCCTCCACTGAGCTTTATGACTTCCCTTTCCGTGGCTGCTTTATGCCCAGGCTAATGGAAACCCGTAATGGGGCGTGCGGAGGCGGGTACCGCAGCACAGCCTCAATGCGGTGAGGATGCGAGGGCCAAGTGTGATGGACTGAATTACTCCAGGGCTCCAGAGAAAGACAAACACCCTTCAGGAGTCAGCCCTGGCATCACTGCGTGGTCTGTGTGATGAGTTTTCACCCCTGGCTTTGCTCTTTGCTCACGCTGATGCTCTAAGCAGCCTCAGATCCAGCTCTCTGTATCCTCACACGAGCATCCCTGCGCCGATACAGCGAGGAAGGGTGGGAAGTGGCCTCAAGGATGCTTCCAGCATCCAATTTGAAAGCCTGAGTGGGGCAGGGAAGCCCAGGAAGGGTTTGCACAAGCCCTGCCTTGCCTGAGCAGGCTAAAAAGGCTGGAAAGCATTGCTGGGAGGGTTATTGTTTCCCCCCCCGCCCCAACCTTTGACAGCCGTTTTCTTCCCCCTAAAGCACAGATTACTTTCAGTCCACTTGCACTGCAGCGCAGGGGATTTGCTTGGGAAGGCCTGGAAAGCCCATCTCCTGACAGCCCCAGGAATCAGGGCTGACACCCTACTAATGGAGCATGGTGCAGGAGGGAGCCAGGACATGACAGCCCCCCCGGCAGCAGTTCTGCTTTGGGGAGGGGGGGAGCAGGCGGCTGATCACAGCCCTGTCACTTCTCCCCACTCCACTCCTGCTGATCAAACCCGGGTCCCCCATCCCTACCCTGCGGCTTTTGAGGTCCTGCTTGTTAATGCCTTCATTAAGGACAGGGGGGAGGATGAGGAGCACGAAGGGATGAGGAATATTGTAGGAGATGGGGTAACCCTGCCCTGGCCCACGGATGCAGAGAAGCCTCTGGGTTTGGGACATTAGCCCCCCCCTTGGGCTCACCAAGGGGTCAGGCTGGTTTCTGCTGGCCAAGCTTTCTGACCCTAGGCTGGGGTTTAGGCTGGGCTCAGCCTCACCGTGTTTTCCTACCCTCCTGCCCTCTCCCTGAATGGATTTGTGCCTCTCTTACCAGTCGGTGAATAATTTACAAGCAGCACTTAACGATTAGGGCAGCGTTTTCTCCAGCCTCCTCAAACATTTGCTGCTTCCTCCAGCCTTTCTTTCCCCTCTCCCATCACCCACATTCCCCTGACCTGTCAACATCAGGGGTTTACAAGCCAAAGGGCCTCTGGTGGGGCTGGGAGAAGTAAATGTCTCTTGTTCTTTTTGCCTTGCTGGTGTTTTGCTCCATGTGTGCCACCAGCTCCATCACATGGGAGCCCAGATGTGCATGTTGTCCCCCCAGAACATGGTGCCATGGTAGAACAGGCAGCCGGGGTGGGGAGCAGGATTTCTTGCTTGGCAACAGCATTTGGGATGCTTTGCTAGACCCATTTCCAACTCCTGGGTGGAAATGGGTCCAACATTCCTCCAGGAAGCTTCCTTTGAGGATGATGGGGGCTCCTGTGCCCGCTGAGCAATGTCTTGTGCCTCAGTGAGCTGGGAAGGGACTGGTACATCACTGCTGAGCCCAGCAATGCCTTGAGCCTGCAAAGGGCAAGGGGAGAGAGGGGTGAGAAAGATAAAGGTGCTATGAGAGTGGAGGAGATGTGAATGTTGAGGATAATGCAAGTGAAAAGGGTGCTGTAAAGCATGAAGGTGCTGCACGGGGCAACGAGTGCTGCAAAGGGGCAAGGAGGATGCAGAGGATGATGGCACTGCAAAGGAAAAGGATGCTGTGAGGGGAGAGGGTGCTGCAAGGCATGAAGATGCTGCAAGGGGTGAAGATGCTGCAAGGGCTGAAGGTCCTGCAAGGAGTGAAGATGCTGCAAGGGCTGAAGGTCCTGCAAGGGGTGAAGATGCTGCTAGGGCTGAGGATGCTGCTGGGGCTGAGGGTGCTGCTGGGGCTGAGGATGCTGCTGGGGCTGAGGATGCTGCAAGGGCTGAGGATGCTGCAAGGGCTGAGGATGCTGCAAGGGCTGAGGATGCTGCAAGGGCTGAGGATGCTGCAAGGGCTGAGGATGCTGCTGGGGCTGAGGATGCTGCTGGGGCTGAGGATGCTGCAAGGGCTGAGGACGCAGCACGGCCGAAGGCTGCCGCACGGCCGAGGTGCTCCAGCCCCATCTAGCGCCAGCCACGCCGCCCTGCCGAGCGCGGGGTGCCGGGGCTGGGAGCGGCCGGGAAGCAGGCGGAAGCCCGGCGCGGCTGCGCTGAGGATGCGCCGCTCTGAGCTGCCCCGGGTGAGGGGGGCACCCATGGGTGCGCCAGCACCCCCGGCACGGGGCTCAGGGCTTGCTTCTCCTGTGTGGGGCTGTGTGGCTGCGACTGCACGGGGCACGGAGCAGGGACCTCAGCAGGGAGCCAGAGCAGGAGGGAAGAGAAAACTGGCAGCAAATCCCACACTTTTGTGTGTGTTTTGGGGGGTTGTGTTGGTGTATGTCCTGCCCCAAGCCAGTCCTGCCAGCACTGCTAAACCCTCGGTGAAGAGAGCACTGAAAGGCTCATCCATTCTCTTTTAGTGGCTTCTCAGCCTTTCCTGGTGCTACTTAATGCAGGATGGGAGCTGGGGAGATGCTGAGGGCAGTGGGTGCTGAGGGTGATGGGTTCTGAGCACAATGGGTGCTCTGGGCAGCGGGTGCTGCACTGCTCTCAGCACGGTGGCTTGGGGTGTTGATGGATTTATGCTCACTGCTGAAGCGCAAAGGGCGTTTTATCAGCAAATCCAGTCAATCCATGAGCTCACAGGGTAATGGATGGTAATAACCCCCATTCGCAGGCCAAGGGCAAGTCACAGCAGCCCGTCACCAGATTCGTGTGGGATTTACCCCTATGAAACCACTTGTTCACAGCTGGGGAATGAAAATGCTTTGCGAGCACTTTGAACATGAGGCTATGGGGGTCCCAGGCACAGATTTTGAACGGTGTGCTTGGGAAACAGACTCTTCAGGGAGCTGCCAAGCCTCCCACTGGTGCTGGGGGTATTTTGGGGGGATATTTCTGCACTTCACATCCCCAGCTGCTGGAAATGGGTTTGTCTCAAAACACAGATGAGGATGTTTCCCCAGGAGAAAACGAACCTGCAAAGACCCAGCAGGAGCCCCATGGTAACCCCTTTCCCTCATGGTTTAATCTCAGGAGGCGGCTTTCTTAGCTCTGGCCCCAGTCTGTGGTCACGGGTGAGCAGCGGTGCTGTGGGATGCTCTGCTCCATGCTGGAGCACAGACCCACCCCGGGAGGCTCTGCTGACCTCCCTGGTCACCAGCAGCAGCAGGACATCACTTGGGGACATCACTTCACCTCCCGAAAACAACTCCATGCAGTGGGATGGGGGGAAAGCTGTTTTGACGGAGCCAGACGCTCTCAGACGCTATCCCAGCCCGTCCCATCCTTCCCAGCCACCGGTTTCCTTTTATTTCCCTCTTTTTCCCCCATTTTTTCTTTGAGGAAACTGACCCAGCAGCGACTCGCAGCGGAATCGCGGTCCCTGCTGGTGGCACAACTGCTTTCTTAAGCCTTATCTTGAAGGAGCAGGCAGGCGGGAGGGAGCGGCCGGTTCCACACAGAGCATCCTTCTTCCCCGAGTTATCCAGTGTAATCCAGAGGCTTTTATTTCCTTGTACAACACGGTATCAGCAGCCGGCAGCTGGGCCTGGAGCCGGCTAGCGATGGTAATCACCGGCCCTAAAATCAACATTCCAGTTAGGAAGGGAGCAGGAGCTGTGGTGTCTCTATTAAATGGAACAGGGCTCAGATGAAGCGCTTTTCAATGCAATCCAATTAGCTCCTAAATTGAATTGTAATGCTTTGGCTAATATACACCCCCCCCCAGCACAGCCCCCCCCCCCCATGCATGGGAAGCGAGTTCAGCCTCGGTTTAATCAGATAAAACCCCATTTATTTGCTGCCTTTCACTGTCTCGTGCATCCTATCAAGATGTGCAGAGCTAAAACTCTCCCTATTTCCCTTTGGGGACCTGCAAATCTCCCCCATGGAGTTGGGATTCACCAGGGAAACACTTGGATTTTGGAAGTAGAGGGGGGAAAAAGGCCCATTTGCCCCACTGAAACATCCACCCACATGATGGCCCGAGGATGGGTTTGAGGACCAGTGTGTTCCCAAGGAGGGACTGGGGGCACTGGGGACCTGGCATCCCCACAGCCGCAGCTGGTACTGGTGTCCCAAAGGAATGGGTGAGGAATGAAGGCATCCTGATGGTTCCAGGAGCTTTTCTTACAGAAAAGAGGAGAAAATGGGATTTTTCTCCTCTCTGATCTCCCTAAGCCGCTGTAGCAATGTATTTTCTCAGATATGTAAATCTGAGCTTATCCCATCTTCATAACAATTACGGAATTGGGCTTAACACTCATCCAGGGACGTGTTATTTGGCGAGCTGGAAGGAGACTGTGGTGCAGGAGAAGCTGATGCACTGCCAGGGGCTCAGATGCTCACAAGTGCAATGAGTTGAACCCGTCCTCAGCCTGTTTCCAGGGTGCATTTCTGTCCCCTCCCCGGCCAGGGACGGGGTCAGGCAATGCTATGGGGACACAGAATCCCCTCACACACCCTATTTTTGGCTGCTTTCTCACCTCCTCCTGCAGAGGTTTATTGCTTTGCTCCGTGTTGGGATGAATCGATCGCAGCAGTCGAAGTTAATGTGAGACATCAAAGTGTCTCAGAGCAATTTGTTAAGTAAATAGTGAAAAAGGAACTTGGCCTAAGCAAATAGGGGAAGGAGGGAGGCAGCTCGGGGGGCGGATGAAAGGCTCTAAAGGCAGAGGAAGCTTCAGAGGCTTGGGAATGATGGGGAGGAAGAAAGCAATATTGAGAAATAAACAGCGAGTGCCAGGAGTTTCAAAGCTTCCATCATCTCAGATGTGAATTCCCAGCTTTTCACCCTGGAACCCTTCAGGAAGGAGAGATGCAGTGGTTGGATTTGAGACAGGAATTGTAGGGGGGCCCTGTCCCCAGGTGCTGCTGTGGGAGTGGGAGCACCTGGGCTGGGGGTTGGTCTGAGCAGCATTAGGCTGGCATTAAAGGCTGGGAATGGATTTCCAGGCTCTGCAGGTGTTGTTTGGTCCTGTCCCCAGGTGCTGCTATGGGAGTGGGAGCACCTGGGCTGGGGGTTGGTCTGAGCAGCATTAGGCTGGCATTAAAGGCTGGGAATGGATTTCCAGGCTCTGCAGGTGTTGTTTGAGCCTGGAAAAGCTGGGGTTGAAGCCAGCACCTTCCAGCACGGGCAGGGGAAGCAGCAAGCCAAGGCCAGCCCTGTGCATTATTGATGGGGCAGATAATGGCATGCTTCCCACTGGCTCCTTGATGAAAAATTGATGGCACGGGATAGGGGTTCCATTGACTTACACCGACTCTTTGTTCCTGAACAAACACTGGAGGAGAGGTGGATAAGGGATGCTGCAGGGGGTGGATGCGGGATGCTGCAGCTGGTGGATGCGGGATGCTGCAGCTGGTGGATGCGGGATGCTGCAGTGGGCGGATGCGGGATGCTGCAGCTGGTGGACATGGGATGCCGCAGCTGGTGGATGTGGGATGCAGCAGCTGATGGATGCGGGATGCTGCAGTGGATGGGTGCGGGATGCTGCAGTGGGTGGATGCGGGATGCTGCAGCTGGTGGACATGGGATGCTGCAGCTGGTGGATGCGGGATGCTGCAGTGGGTGGATGCAGGATGCTGCAGCTGGTGGACATGGGATGCAGCAGCTGGTGGACGTGGGATGCAGCAGCTGGTGGATGTGCAATGCTGCAGTGGATGGATGCAGGATGCTGCAGCTGGTGGATGCGGGATGCTGCAGTGGGTGGATGCGGGATGCTGCAGCTGGTGGACATGGGATGCTGCAGCTGGTGGATGCGGGATGCTGCAGTGGGTGGATGCGGGATGCTGCAGCTGGTGGACATGGGATGCTGCAGCTGGTGGATGCGGGATGCTGCAGTGGGTGGATGCGGGATGCTGCAGTGGGTGGATGCAGGATGCTGCAGTGGGTGGATGCGGGATGCTGCAGTGGGTGGATGTGGGATGCTGCAGTGGGTGGATGCAGGATGCTGCAGCGGGTGCAAGGCACAGGAGGCTCTGTGGGTTCCCTGAAAGGGTTGGGGCAGAGCATCCCTTATCTTAAAGCACCATCAATTCAATCTCAGGATGAAAGTGGGGTTTAATGAGCAAATTATTCAGGCAATTATTCTCTGCTCAGAAGAACAATTCCCAAGGGATAACTGAAGCCCAAAGGAAGAGCTGAGGCCCAGAGCCACCCAGCACCTCCAAGATGTGGGTCCTCAGAAGTTAATTGAGCGTTTGAAACATCAGAGGAGCGTGCTGGAAGGGGAGAGCTTTTCCATGCCCGCATCCAAGGCATGGAAATGAGGTGCTGTCACCACCAGAGCCACCCGGCCACTGAGTCACCTCCTTGGGTCTGCACTGCTGGGTGGAGGAGATAAGGCAATGGTGGGATGGAAGTGGGATGGGGAGGATGGGCTGGTGTCTCCAAGGGATTCCGTTAGGCAGGCAGCTCTGCTGGGCCCCATGGAAGCAGCGGTGGGACATCTAAGGGATGCTAAAGGGGAATTGATCCCTGCGGAAGGAGCAGCAGGGCCGGCTGCTGGCTGCACCCAGAATGCACCCATCTGGGTGGTTTTAGGTGCTGAGCTCTTGCAGGGAGGAGTTGCTATGAGGAAGGTTGTGTTGTAGCAACAGCCAAAAGCGTGCCAGGCTGCTGGAATCCCTCTGCCAGCAGACCGGGGCTGGGAATAACGCGTTTCCTCATGCTCCAGCCCGCAGTACCTCCCTAAGTCCATCACAGGGACAGGACTTGTTCCCTGGGGGAGGTTTGTTTGGGGCAGGCAGGACCTGGCAACCCACCGGCGGGCAGAGCTGGACACAAGAGCG